ATTTGCTTCCTCCCTCTCCCTCTCCCTACCAATGATATTTACGTAATCAATCACACTCTGGCGCCCCATTGCTAGAGCCCTAGCTGTAAAAATCGCTCACACCCGTGTATGATACCCTTTCTTTAGCCCATGCCAACTCTTCCCCGGCACGGTTCACCAGTCGTGTCAAGACCCCCAAGCGCTCTCTGTTAGCAAGCTTTCCCCTCGGGACGCGGTTCTTGCAGCCTTGGCAGTAGCGATATGCCTGTACCAACTTTTCGGCCGTCTTCCATTCTAGTACCGGCGCTGGCAGGGCAGGTCCTTCCATTACGAGTATGATAGAGGGTCGATGATCGCTCGGCCCCATAATACACCCCTGAATGGTCGGTCCCTAGTGACTTTTATTCTTTCTCACGAGTAGTATCCCTAACAACCGCGGTATTTTATGATACAATACCCACCAATATCAACCCCCCCCAGAATTTCACCGCGCGAGGTTTCCCTCGCTCCCCTGCAAACATTGTCCATTCGGGCATCCGTCATGGGCGCTCACTCGAACAGCCGTCCATTTCTCCTCCAGGTAATCGATGCTTTGGAGCCGAAGAAAACTAACTCGGTTATGATGCAGAATTGGGTTATGCTATGGGCCACCCGGATTCTCCAGCTTCTTGAGGATATATTTCCGATTCCTCAAGAGTGCATTGGGTTGATGCATCCAGAACTGCCAAGTCCGGAACATCACGATTAACCTTATTTGCCCCGAAATCTAAGCCTCGAATTCACAAGCGCCGTTGGGTCTCCCCCCCTCCCCCCCCAAACCTCCGCCTTAATTAAATAGATCTATGGTAATAGCAGAAACAGAGATCTGGAGCTCGGTCACGTCAAATAAGGTGGGTTCGAAATACTATACAGCAGCGCAGGGTCCCTTATTGCACTTTTACTTCTCTCCCACGGAAAACCGGGAAAGATCGTGCGGGGAACCAGTCGATGACTCGGCGATCTGCACCAATGATATGATACACGGCGTTGTTCCCAGAGGGTAACCCTAAGGTAAGTGTGTAGCACACTCAAGAGTTCTGAAGCCCTCAACCCGCACCCAACGGTACCATAGGTGGTGGTGGTGGCAATCAGCGTTACCCAAGTCCCGTGACTCGACAGCACGCACAGGACCGCACACCCCACTGTCCCACCCCCTCCCCCCTTCTCACCTTTCGTTGAATTGACCCTCATCGTCCTTCCTACTTACTCCACTCTTCCTCCCCATAGCCTGTCCATTGATCAATGGCATTTACACAAGAATGTCTACAATCCTTCAGATCTCGTCGCGAATGCGACAGCGCGCCAGCTCGCTAGAATCGTCCCCGACCCAAACTGCTCTTATCGGCTCACATGCAAAAGTGCCCCGTTCCCGAGTGATCCCCGCCCCCACAACCACCCCCACCGTAGCGACCGAGATCAATGCTCGATACCTCTCCTCAATTCAACATAATCCCCGCTGGCGTGCCTCAGGAGTCCTGGACTCCTACGTAGCTCAGCCCGCCCATCCCATCTCCCTCCGCCAACTAGTCTTCTTCGGCGGGCGCAACCTGGATGAGAAGAAGATCATAAACTCGGCAAACTACGTGCGTACCGAACTCCCCCTGCGCATAGCCCACCGCATCCGTGATATGCAAAAGTTGCCGTACGTGGTCGTCACGAACAGGCATTTATCGGAGGTGTACGAGCTGTACTATAAAGCTTTCGAGTCCTTCCGTAAGATTCCTGAGATCAAGAGTCTCGAGGATAACGAGAAGTTCTGTGAGATTGTCAAGACGGCGTTGCAGGAACATCTCACTGTCATACCGAGACTTGCTATGGGCGTGCTGGAGTGCAGTGATTTGGTGCCCTCGCATGAGTTGGACAGGTTTATGAATGTTATTCTCAGGAGTGTATGTGATAACGCTGCCCTTCACGTTCCGTATCTTGGCTCGACCGGCTAAACCCCCACTTTAGAGAATTTCGAGAAGGGTCATAGCCGAACAACACCTAGCATTGACGGACACCTTCAACTCCCCTTTCCACTTCCCCGACTCCGTGAGCCACCAGCCCCACGACTTTGTCCCCGAGGTCCAGATCGAGGGCCGCCTGGACACGACATTCCCATACATTCCCTCCCACCTGGAATATATAATCGGCGAGCTCCTGCGCAACTCCATCCAAGCCACCATAGACCACCACACCCCGCTGTCCACTTCCCTCCCGCCCATCAAAGTCTTAATCTGCCATACAAAAGAACACATAATCTTCCGCGTCTCCGACCAGGGCGGCGGCATACCCATAGCCGAACTCGCCCACCTGTGGTCCTTTGCCAAGGGACCCCGTGCTGCTAGTTACCTCCAGAACTTCTCCCGCGTACCGAAGATGGCCGCCACGCTGCAGGAACTGCAGAAAACGGCGCACACGCATTCCCGCAGAGAGAGTATGGACACTTCCCTCTCTAGATTGACTTCCCGGCCGCCAAACCTAAGACTGGGAATGGGCCTGCCAATGAGCAGGGTGTACGCCGAGTACTGGGCCGGCAGTCTGGAATTGCACAGCCTCGACGGCTACGGCACAGACGTGTTCTTGCAGGTGTCCAAATTGGGGAATAAATGTGAGCGATTGAACCTGGACGGGGTGTAGCAGTTCAACATTTTGGGTAGGTAGGTAGGTGGGCACACACACATATACACTTGTGTATATTCCCCTTGCAAGGAGGGCAAGTGTATACCCACCTACTTACCAACCAACAAAGTACCCTACGATGAGAGGAAAAAAAAGAAAAGGAAAGAAAAGAAATGGTACTTACTAAAAATCTAAAAACTGGTGGAGCCATGTATTATACTACTTGATTTGGTTAACCATTTACCTCTCGCAGGCGTATTATTCACAGATGGAGTTCCGAGTTGACAGAGTTACGATACGGTAATTTTCCAGAATGGGAAGGAAAAAAACCGATGGAATGTAAATTCTTCCTCTTTCATCATGTTCTTCCTTTAGTTTCCATTCTCTCTTGCTATCATTGTTCCGTTCCTTTCGGTTCTTGTTGTCATCCGTGCGTTCGATCCCCGTTTTTAACGTGTTGGATAGGCTTGTTTCGCCTTTTCGTCGTTCGCTCGTTCGTTTTCTTCCTTCGTTTCTACCTTCGGCGGTCTGTCATACGAGCGACTGCATATCTCGAACGTTCCAAAATTTCCCGAAGCCAGGAGGGAGGGGGGCGAGTGGATGGGAGGGGTATGGTGGGTCAACTGAGTTCTGTCGTTATGCTATGCAAGGCAGGTATATCATTTACTTCACGATTCTTTGTTGTTTAGCATCTCAGCGGTGGTCCTGTTTTTCATTATAGAAGTGTTTCTTTCTGCATGCATAGATGATCTCTTGTAGAGATATTCACTAATGATGCCCACCACCCCTCTTCCTCCGTCCTCACCAGCGTTTTTCTCTCCCCTGTTAGATGGCACATGTCTGATATGTTCTCTCCAATGTCAATTACTTTTGAACTCCCTGTTGAAACGAATATTACCCAGTGTTGTGGCCGTATTGGAAAAAGAAAAAAGGAAATGCTACCCCATCGTTCGCACACATCACAATCCACTGGAATGTGTCTCCACAACGGAATGGGCTCATGCAATCTTTTGATATCACAACTTCATTGACTGAAAAAATATTTGTTGCAATACAAACAATATCATCCATAGAAAAAAGAAAAATATGCACGTCCCGTTTACACATAACCTGCTATATGCTTTAGCGGAATGAGAGTGGCGAAAGGGGCAAGCAAAACCGAACACGAGGATTCGTGGGTTGATAAGGGGGTTTGTAGGGGGAAGGGGGAAGTTA